TAATTTGATATAGGGGTTTAGGTATCTACAGCTTAAACCGGACGCGCTACATCGCTTGGACGTGAGACACCCCTGAAGGTATACGGTAACCTTAAGCACATGATACTTACTGTACAATTACATTTGCATCAAAAAGTAATCGTGAAGGGAAAAATAACGTAACATGTGAAGCACTTACACGCTAACTTTAAACATCATCTTCTTTTGTCCCAGAAATACAAATGACTACAAGAAAATATCAGTTTATTTATTAGTTTATGTACTGACTGGTCTGTCCTCAGCCTTAATTCCAACCCTGGACAACAGTTTTAAGAAGGAGAAGAGCGAGAGAGCGAGAGTAACGAAGCGTGCGAGAACGAGCGAGAAGCGCGAAAGCTACCGTGCGAGGAGCGCGAAGGCGACTGTCAGGCTTTCGCGCCAGGTTCAATCACCCGCAGTTTTATTTTACTCGCACCCTGAACGATGTTAGACAAAACAGCAGATCTCTGAAGACTATAGAAAAACACCTATTTACTTATTTACTGAGAAAACACTTATTTACAGTTCCCTTCTTAAATGATCTAGTTGTGAGCCAAGTAAGGTTCGTCTTTGGCTTTGTATAGGAAACAAAACGAAGCAAACCAAGATGCAATTCGATGACTTATATGACATAAGTCGTCGGTACGCGTGCAAAATCAGTTACCTCTTGTCTTGAGGGTTTACGCTTCTTAGCAACATTCGGGAACGCATCGTACATAGAATCATGTTTTGTTTTTTCGCCTTCATCTAAACAAAACAAAAACATTGTTTGAGGCTTTCGCTTTGAATAGGAAGTCAAAATTCAACATATGAAATTTAAAAGGCACTGATGTGGTTGTTTTAAGTTTGGTGTTAAATTCTTTGTTTATTATTTTCGTCTGACGTTCTGTTTCTAATTTGTTTATGTCGAAATTAGTTTCTTATTATGGTTCACCTGTATGTATGTGGCTCCATTGCGAGCTTCCAATTGGCTCTTCAAAGTTTCTTTTGGGATTTCGTTCCTTATTTATTCGTTAATACATATTTTATATTCATTTAGCTATTTATTTGCTACCTCTTCTTTAAACATGTATGAAGGAATATATTTATAAAAAAAACCATATAAATATATCGAAAGGAATAAATGACTGTTTTTATATGGAAAAGAATAAATGATTGAATAAAAGGTTCCTTGCCGAAAATCTCTTCGCCGTGAGCTGTCGAACTTCTCCTAAATGATCATTCACATTTTATCGGTCATTTCGTTCTCAAAAAACACAGTTTGAAATCTCTCTTCCGCGGAAAAACGTGCGAAACGTAAATAAATATATTTCCAGAGTTAATGTCATCAAATAAGCATGCGTAGCTGAAGAGCGGAACAATTCTTTCTTGGTCCGTCGCTGAAACGAAGCACTAACGTGCGACTTGGCTCCAGCTACGCAGGTTAATGCTATCAAAGTCAAACGTAAGAGCGCTTTAAAACTAGGCACTAAATAACTCAGCAATCTGGTGTAATTCAGTGTAAATTTAACGTTTGGTTTGATCGTCGGAAATTCAGTAACTTGACTTACCGACAACTCTCACGGCAATGCCTGTCTCTTTTCGATCCACCTTCAATGAAAAAACCAAAGTTAAGACAAGTTTGTTAAAGGTAAATCTTTCTTTAAAAACATAGACAATACTTTTACAATGATTTTCCTCGCTCTATTACATAGAAAATTTACAAATCTGCTGTGTTTTGAGATGATAAAATCTCCGAGGAAGGTCGTTTTGTTCCAGGAAATCATGCCACTGAGTTCTGCGTGCTCGAGACTTGTAAAAGCCCAATATCAGCAATGAAATGACGAGAAAAATGAGAAGTTATTACCTTCATTTGTGAGACATAATTATTGACTTTGCATCTTAAGCCTTTCTCTGATGGATCTTTATCAGTGAACATACCAAACCACTGGAAGAAAATAAGATAGACAGTAATGAGGGCAAGATTGCCGCGGAAAGACTAGTGATAATACTTGAAAAATTCACTGAGCTCGAGATTTCTATGAGGTGGTAGTTGATGAGGCCGAAGAATTAATCAACCATTACCTCATAGAAATCGATAGAAAACATAGTGGAACCTCGACATAACGAAAGGACAAGGTACTGGGAAAATATGTTCGCTATAACGAGATTTCGTTGCATCGAGGTTCTTTTTCATTCATGGGGCGAGGAATATCGTTCGCTGTTCCGAGGACCCCGTTGTAAAGAGGTTCGTTAAATCGAGGTTCCACTGTAACTTAATTGTTCGACTGGAATTCTAAAAAAAATATTCATTCAAATGATGACAACGAGGATTTTCATTTTGTAAACAGGACAGTGTCGAGCGTTTCCTTCGTTGATTTAGACGAATAAACGATGGATTCACGGCCGTTGCAATAACAATGGCGTCATACATGTTCAAAACTTAAGTGGAATCACGAACAAAGTGAGAGGTTTCGATGTACAACATGAAAAATATACGGAGTACATTAGGACGCACCCAAATAATATTGGTCGACTTCCTTTTTAAGCAACATGGGGAATTTGTTGGGGAATTAGAAAGAAAATCGACTTGAAATTGGACGAGAGGTTGACTGCGGAAAACATCCCTTAATCAAACGAGCATGGAACCTACGAGTACAACAGTGATTACTTAAATATCGTAACCGATAATTCGCAACCCTCCGGCTTCCGTTTATTGGAAAGGTCGGGACACATGATTTTCTTACAGTTTCAAAGATACGTTGCCCTTGCGTTACAGGTTCTGTCATGTTTACAGTCTGATACACTCCCAGAGACCACAGTTTTCAGCCAATTGGCGCATGAAAACTCACCCACGGCTACTGCATTATTTCAAATCTACGCGAACAACACGAAACGTAGAACTGGGTCAACGGGACACACCCAGGGCAGAGCGCTAACGTTATAAAAAACGCTTGGACTAATTTTATAAGATGTTAATACCTGGAAAATCTTCGTTCCTCTGTCAAGTATAAAAGCATCATTTGAGACCAATGCTCCTCTCTTCAGTGCGGTTTCTCGCACGCAAATTTTCTGACACAAAATAAACAAAACATTCTTGTACTATACGAAGCTTATATAAAGGTAAGGGAAAGCTGGTACTTTTCTCTATAGCACCCCTGTCCTTTTCATGTGGGGGTCCCCTCGTCCGGACCCGGGGATTTCATGGAGCTCGGATGTGCTTATTTCACTTACCCCGCCAGCTGTTGGTCTTGACACACGGAGAAGTCTCTCCTTGTAGGTAGAGGACAAGTCACAATCGACCATCTCGTCTGATCTATCAAAAAATTTGTTTGATTTACCTTTATGACAAGACCACAAGTGCACAACATTTATTCAGAGCTCCTTCTGCTAATTAACAACCGTCACTGTCTTTTGTTTTGTACTTTATTCTTTTTTACAATAATACAATAACTTTATTTATATAGCGAGTATTTGTACTCGCTATATAAATTTGTACTCTCTTTATTTGTACTAGGTTGTACAAGGGTTACAAGCGAAAAGTTACTATAATGCTAGTTTTACAATTTTACATAAAAAAGGGAAAAAAAAATGAAAAGGACGGACACACACACACACAAAAAGAAAAACAAAATGGAGGCAAAGAGGCCTATGAAATTGATCTCTACATACACTATCACAAAAAGACTAAATTAACTGAAGCAGGGTAGAAATTTGGCACTGTTGAGACTGATTTCCGGAAAATTTAACAATTCAATAAAGCAAATAAATATTTTGCTACTGGTGGGGCGGAAACTCAACAACGATATTTTATAAGAGCAATAGATAGTTAAGAACCAGAAGGTGGTGTCAAGACTTACTTTCCTTTTAACACAGTAAAGGCCTCAAAATAATTCATAAAACGCTTCGATTCGTAGTCCTGTACCTCTCGGTGAACAAGGGCTTTGCCGTCCATCTGACACACAAAAAAGTACGAAATAAAAAGCAAGTTGTAACCTGTCTCATTTTATGAATGAGAAACACATCTAAGTATGATTTCAGCTGGGTTTTTATATTTGTTTTTGCAGAAATGGTCTGGTAACAAGCCCATATGGAATGGGTACATTTTATCGTTACTGTATGGCGTGACATACAGATTATGTGTTATAAAACATGACAATGAGGATTTTAATGTCGCTGAGCTGAGCGCCTTTTACACATAATGCCTATTAATTTTTAATGAAACTTGTCTCGAAAAATAATTGTTAGATTCTGAGACAGGCCCCGTGTTACCAAGGATACATGAATGCAACTGGCTCGCGCGGAACCTGTTTGCATTTGCAAAGTGATGATAAAAGTCTTAAACATTACTGTTAGTTCCACAAGCTTTGTTACGCCACTTTTTAAAATTTTGTTGCAGGAAATAACATTCTGGAACCTTATAAAATGAAATTGCTTCTCCATGACAAAATATATAGAATGGAAATGCTGAAACTCGTCTCGTGTGACATTAAAGCGACAAGTGAAGAAAACAAAAGAGAATGTAGGTCTGTAGAGGACCTTGTGCAAATTTTGTTTAAAATGCTATTAGAATTTTAGACATATTTAAAGTTTGCATATAGTTGTATAGGCAGAAATAATTATATTTTAGTCCGCATTTTTAAAATATTAATGGAATTTTAGATATGTGTATATACCGTAAGAAGTGATAGGTAACTTTTTAACTTAACGTAACTTAATTTATTAGTAATTTTATTGGGAGTGTACCCGATTAGTCGGCCTCCCGGCTGAGTGGAAGTTTTAGACACTTAAATAAAGTTTATCGATTGATCGATTGATTGATTGCTTACCGCATCATCCAAAGCGATGGCATTGTATAAACCTCTTTTGTACAACTTAGAAGAGGCTTGCTTTCCTACCCAGCAGTGAATATCGTAAGCGGTCTGAAACAAAGAAAATATTCCCGGGTCGATCAAATCTTTATCTTGATCTAAGCTAGAGCGTACAGATTAAGCACAGAGTATAAACAAAGAGAATTACAAGCATGGTGTGAAAAGAGGAAAAACTAGGCTAACTACATGAAAACACACAACCAGACACGAAAACTAACTAGTGTAGTATAAAGTATAAAGTGACTGGTTGGCTTGAGATTGTGGTGAGTGATTACAGATTTTAACTGCTACAGAGACTGGTCAATAAAGTAAAGATTAAGCACGATGTCACACGGCACGTAAAAAGCCTCGACACGAAATAAAAGTGCGAGTGGTGTTTCTTCTGTGGCTGTTCCTGCCATCTTTGATTTGGAGGTTGTAGAAACTGCATGGAAAAAGCGTAAGGTGAGGTTTTTTCGCTCCGTGACTCGCTTTCGGGCCAAATCGCGCGATTTCAACTGCTTGCTTTCTTCAAGAAGGAGGTATTTAAAGCCTCTGATGATTTTAAAACAGTCTTGGAAGCTCAAAACGATGTCATTAAAATATCTTAATTTCCTGAGGCTTTCTCTCTGAAGGTGAAAGTAGTCCGCTTTCTTGACTACCTTTCTTTTGCTGGAGAAAGACGAAAGAAATCCGCCCACTACAACTCGTAACTATCGCAATTTACGAGTGAAAAGCCAAGAGAAAGAGACCAGAGACTGGACTGAAAAGCAAGCTTAATACGTTAGAGTTAATTTCTGTTCCATCAACATGGCAGCTGTAACTTAACCAAGCATGTACACAAAATTTAAATTAATATTCAACGTACTCTTTTAATCACTAGTTCTAATTTGCTTCTCTTTTTTTCTTGTTTTGCTAGCTTTTAAAACCAGTTTCGAACTTTGGCTTCACAGGGTTTTCCCAAATTACTTTCACCCAACCATTTTTCGGTTTGAATTTCCCAATTTCCCAGTTCTCTAGTTCTTTCTTCTGACTATAGTTGTTTTGTTGTTGGTTCATCTAGTGTATTGTATTGAGTTCTGTCTTACCGTTGCTGATGTTTTAAGATAGGTACAGTTTAGCACTATATACACTTCCTCGCTGAAAAACTTCCCTTCCTTAGCTAAGCACCACTCTTCGACCTAAAATTAACACAAAAATCACATTAGAAATGAAATTCTTCGAAACTTGTCTTCACTGCACACGCAACAAAAAGTCACAAACACGGGAATCTCGCGCGATCCACGCGTTTCAAGGACGGTTTTTTTGAATATTTATGACTTGGTGGTTTTCGCTTTATTTGCATTTGACCGACATAGTAAACAGATCAAGTTCAAAGGCTATTGCAAGTTGTATCAATTTTCTCGAGACGCTGCTATGACATTTAAGTGCTACCGGGAAATTGTGAATTGAATTTTAAGAAATTAAAGTTTCTCGTTTCATGTAGATCTCTAGACTGGAAAGAATATCAACTTTTCGGATCAGCTTTTCACAATGTCCCTATGCACCCCGCAGAGGGCAAAATTGTTTTTTTTTTCCTGTTCAAAATTCGTTGAAATCTTGCCTTATTTGGAAAAGAAGTAATGTCTACTCTGTGCTATTCAGGTTGTTATAAAACCAAAACATTCTTCAACAAAACTTTGAAATACACGGTTTGATATTAAGTCAAAGTTTTAAAGTAAGAAAGCGTTACAAAAAATACACGATACAATGTGTCCATAATATTCTAAGTTATTTCTAACGGCAAATGTTTTTCTGTTCGATATTAAAGTTGTCAAATAATTCCACAACTTGAAATGAGAATTTGGAACGAAACAACTAAATAAAAGCCGAGCAAAAATCCGAAGGATGGTTAAGAAAAATGAAGTTGCAAGCCAAACTAAATGTAAAAAACTTTTTTTGCTATATAAAATACCGCGAAATTATCGCTCAAAAGTGCGAAAGGGTATATTCCGCAAGTGCTGGGCGATTCTTTAATTAAAGTTTTCAGGGTGAATCATCTTGGAAAAATCCCGCAGGTTTAGTTTAATTTCAGGAGTTACTGGCAGCCGTTAAACTATTAGTTACTCAAGATATTTAGGAGATTACAGGCACGCAAAGTCTTGTTTCAAAACACACCGCAAAAGTTCCAATAACAAAGTCCTTACATCATCTTCTGTGATTCTCCACGCTTGTATTCCTTCACTGTTAAAACTTCCTTTCCAGTCCTAAAAATAAATAAAATAAAAGCCACGTCAATTAGAAGAAGACAAGTAATTTATCTGTATCCATTACACAAATTTCAGCTCGGACTTAGCACAGGCAAAGTTAATCAAAATAAAGAGATGAAAACTCTTTCGCATTACCTTGACGGGTTCATCTCCATCCGAGCCGTAAAGCTTAATGTCTGCGTCTTTCCACAAGTTGTACTCCATCGCCAACATGAAGCGAACTCTACTCTATTTTCTCCGTTTTAGTCTGGGTACAGACAAGTTTTTGCCCCTCTGCAAGTTCCAGTCCATTGAACAGACTCGCTATAAAAGTTTCATTGTCAACACGATTTTCTTCGCCGATCTAACTGGTCCGCGTTTTTAGACAAGCCTTTATTCTAGAGATATCAAACAGTCACTTTTGTTAACGGCTAATGTAACAACGTTTCTGATTCGCTCGTGTGAAACACTCCTTTAGGGTGTTCACAGTAGGTCGTTAGCTTCCTCTGAATTATGTATAGCTCACTCAAAATTACCAGAACTCAGCTTGAATTAGTTTAAAGCAAACAATCCCATCTCAGTTACTAATGAAGAAATATTATTACGAAGAGCGTACGATCCGTTTCGCAATTTTCTCCACCTTGAGCCTCATAAATAATTTCTATTGCATTTGTCTTCACTGTAAATGAAAGTTTACAGTGTAAAAGTGCTGCAGTTGACAGCTGTTGCGTCGGGGGTGAAAGTTAGACTATGTATAGAAAAGATAAAGTGGGAAAAATGAGTTCATAAGCTAAAATCAATGCTAGGATTCGTAACAGAACTTAAGCCAGACCACGAAACTGTGAACGTCCGTGTCACTATGATATTCATGTAATTGTAATGCTTTATATATCGGGTAGAAATACATGGCATTGCTTTAACTAACAAATGAGCTAACCGTAAGCAAGCTGGGATGAAAGCTGAAGCCAAGTAAATTGGAGTGAAAGCCAACCACAAACAATCAAGTTGAGGAGATTAAAAGAGCATGTTTTATCTAATATCTCCACAAATATTTACAGCAGCGAAGAATGCAATATCTCATTTGGGCACAAAATATGCTTTCTGGAAATTCAATTCTTGAAAGCTAAAACTACTTCCAAATAAATTGTAAATCAGTGGAATGTTACAAAAAAGTCCCAAAATTTTAGAAAACCTAAATATACTGGAAAACTACTCTGCTGGGCGATTTACAAACAGAGAAAAAGGTTTTTACACGGTTGGTTTCTGACTCAAGAGCGGAGGTGTATTCCTCCAGTGCGTGTTGTGCAAGTCCTACTTTAGAGTAGCTGTCAGCAGTCTTTGAATGTTTTTCACCAAACATTTTAATTCTGATATCGGATCTCAAATGCACGCTTGTGTGACTCGAAAGCGGAGGCGTAATTCCCCAGTGAATACTGTGCGACCCCTATTTCATGGTGACTGTCAGCGGTCCTCAATTCATCAAACAGTTTAATTCTTATATCAAGTGCACGTGTGTGTGACTGCAGAGCGGAGGTGTCATCCCCTAGTGAATGTTGAGCGACCCCCACTGAATGGTAGCTGTTAGCAGTCCTCGAATCTTCTTCACCAAACAATTGAATTCTGATATCAAGTTCACACTTGTGTGACTCAAGAGCGGAGGTGTATTCCCCCAGTGAATGTTGAGTAAGCCCTACTGAACGGTAGCTGTCAGCGGTCTTTGGATGTACTTTGCCAAACAGTTTTAATCGGATATCAAGCGCACGTTTGTGTGACTGAAGAGCGGAGGTGTAATCCCCCAGTGACTGATGGGTAAGCCCTACATCTCGATAGCTGTCGGCGGTCTTTGAATGTTCTTCACCAAACAGTCTTCGTCGGGTATTAAGTGCACGTTGGTATGACGTTAGAGCTTCCGCGTAGTTGCCGTTCCGGTGATGAATTTCACCTTGGTCCGAATAGGCCCGCGCCATTGCCTCCTCGTGCTTTTCTGGACTTTCTCCGACATTTCCTTTCTTTTTCATGGTTTGTTGCAGTGCTTTTTCATGTACGCTCGCCATTTTGTTCGTAAGCGTTATAGCGTCCTCGTATTTGCCAAAGCCCTGAAGCAAATTAACAGCGTTGCCATGAAATTTGAGCCAACCAGGTGTGACCGTTCGGAGTTCAGACACGGATTCCTTTATTATTTTCAGCAATAAGTTGCCAAAAGCTCGCTTGGTGTCTGTGGTCAAGAACTTTCGTACCGCTTCGCGTACAAGCATGATAACATGACACTGAAGAGGCTCGTTTACCAAAGGATTGGCCTTTGTTGTCGGTGTGTTACGTTCAACACCTTCGTTTGTTACCATGATTGTTGTCGTGGGAATCACTACTAATCCCATGTCCCCCACATCTCTGCATTCCTTCAGTGCTTTGTTGTAGAACTGGGAAGAGTTCATGGGGTCATTCTTGCACTGATAATAAATAGCTAGAATTTGGGAGACAATAAGCAATAAAATTCGATGTTCCGGACTGGTCCCTAAGGAAAAAAGGGCTTCTTCCAAAGCCTCCACTCCAGACTTCGTCTTCCCGATAACACATTCATGGATTCCAAAGTAGCACAAGTATTTTCCTATCTCTCCATCACTGTCGGAAGAAGCAGACAATTGAAGCTCCTTGGATTCAGAAAGCAACTTTTTTGTGTTTCCACCTGAGCCCCAAGTTACGCAGTTAAACGCATAGGAAATGAGTAGGCGCCTGTAGAAAACAGTTTTCCCAGACTGTTTGGCCGCCATTATTGCTGAAGCGAAAATTCTATGAGGCGGCCCGGTCCAATAAAGCGAGTCCACAAAGAGCTCTGCTTTCGTCAAAACATCAAAAACTCTGTCGGCCGTCTTTGAATCGCAACAGCCCTCAATCAGACTTTGAACAATGTTATTTTCGTCTTCAAAGAACTCCATGAATGCTGACATGGAACGCCCAGAAAGGAAATTCTCATTGAGTTTCTCGAATAAGCCAATGTAAAATGCATAGAAGCGAGATTTTGAGATGAGAACTGTTTCTTTCATCTCATTTTCTCCCTTTTCTCTAGAAAACGACTGAATTAGTTTATGCATAGTGAATTTACCAGAATTTGAACAGTCAAGAAGGGATTTCCTCTGAAGTCTTTGCAATAGCCTCTCTACTTCGATTGCTCTGGTTATCCCCAAAACGGCTGCGGCAATCTTAAAATCAAAATGATCTGGAAGAATACACAACAATACTAGTGCCTCTTGGTCTTGTGTAGATAGTCTCTGGAAGGAGGACTCGAAGAGAGACTTCAATCTCAAGTGGCTCGGATAATCTGGGTTGTCCAACATTTCTACGATGTTTTCTGTACACTCCAGGAATTCATCAATGCACTGACTTGCTCGAGCTAAATCGTCAGGAATGGATGAGCACATTAATTTTATGGCCAAGGGAACCTGCCCACAGATTTGCGAAACTTTTGTCAAGTGATAAGGGCTCACTTCTGGGAGCAATTCCCGAGCTAGGGTTTGAGAAGAAAACTTGTCTAGCTCTTTTATTCTGACAGACACGTGTCCTCGAAAATGTAAATTCAAAAAGGACAAAGACTCCCTTGTGGTTAAAAGAAACTTGATCTTATTACTGCGACTGAGAATTTCTCCAATCAAATTCATAACCTCCTCCTTCACGTCTGGAACGCCACATTCAAAGAGGTCATCAGCATTATCCAGGATTACAACACAGCGATCCGAAAGTCTGTCAAAAATTAGGCAAAGCTCGTCATCAGTTGATAAACTCTGCAACTTTTCAGTTCCTAGTGTCACGGTCTGTCGGAACAGACCAAGAAATTTTGACGTTAAGTCGCTTTTTGACTTCAGTTCACGTAATGAGAGAAAGTACACGGGCGGCTCACATGCTTGAAGACGATGTCCAACTGCGATTGCGATGGACGTTTTTCCGAACCCTGGCGGACCCCAGACGGAGACGAGTCGGGTTGATTCGGAGGTCACGTGACCAACAATTTCGTCACATTCTTCCTGTCGGCCAATGAAGTGGGGAACCTTTGCAGGAAGATTTGATCTTGGCAGAATTGTTTTAGATCCTGTCAATAAAGTAACCAACATATAGTGAAGAAATCGACGAATGAATCAACAAACGAACGAACAAACAAAGAAAGGAAGGGACGAAGGGGGGGGGCGGAGGCTTGTTTGTAGAGGTAGCGTGCATATACACAAACAGTTTAAGAAGAGGCACTTAAACCCAATACAAACACCCTGTCCACACCAGGAAGCAAATGTGTAAAAATACTAAATATTAATTCTCCATGGGAACTATCAAACATTTCAACTTCCCAACCTCACGTCAATCGTTCTCTAAGTTTCCAAACATTTACTTCAACGTTTTCATTACCATGATCGAGTAATTAACTCACCTTACTGGCTGTCAAACCTCTTTTAACATATGTAAAGAAATGATAGTTTTATGTTAACTTTATGTTAAACTTGGTACGATTTGATTTATGTTAAAAGTGGTACGATTTGATTAGTAGGGCAGCAGAAGTTACCCTACTGATAACATCATCAATTACGCATTGATAATCACCGATACTCAGTGGCTGATCAGAATCATTGATTACCCCCAGATTGTTGTTCCCTGATACCATTCATCACTGTTCTTTTCCTCTGAATTTACAAATTACAAAAACTAACCTGGATTGTTCTCCATTCTCTGACTTGTGACTTCTTCTTCCAGTTGTTTGATTTTCTTTCCTGTCTCAAAAACGTCGTTTTCTACTTTGGCAAACCCTTGCTGCAGTTGTTCCACTCTGTCATCGGTCCTGGCAAATCCCTCCTCCAGTTGTTCAAATTTGTCATCGGTCCTGGCAAATCCCTCCTCCAGTTGTTCAACTTTGCCATCTGCTTTAGCTAGTCCCTTTTCCAATCTGTCAACTCGAATCAATAATTCGTCACTGAGCGTTTTCTCCAGGGACACAAGCTTTTCCATTATTTCTTGCTTCTCTTTCATCTGTTGTTCTTTCCACTCTAGCATTGCTTTCAACAGCTCACTTTGTTTCCGCAATTGAACTCTTGTTGACGATTGCTCACCTTGGATGGAAGTCACAGTGTTTTGTATTTGAGCTTGCTCTTTTCTTTGCTGAGCCAGTGATTCTTGAATGGCTGATTGTTCTGCTTCAGTTTTCTTGTAGCTCTTAATGAGTTCTTTGACATCTTGTTGCACAAGGGAAAGAAGATTTTGATCCACAGCATGACCCATACACAGCTGACAACCTGAAATCAAACAAAGCATGAAGAGTTTCACAAAACGGAAGGCAACTTTTGTCAGGGGATCGGATGATTGAGCGTGATAAGGGTTGTAGGGTATAATGTATGCATGGTAGATTCAGAGCTAGAAGATCAACAATTGACATGGTCTTCTCTTTGCGACAGCTGCAGGAGAAATAAAGAGAGCTGAGACGGCCGCTATACGTCGCATTCATCAACCTGACCAAGGCCTTTGACTTGCTCAGCAGGAAAGGCTCTTCACTCTGCTACAGAAGATTGGATGTCCCCCAAGTTCCTGAGGATGATCACGTCCTTTCATGAAGACATGCATGGCACCGTCCAGTACGATAGATCTTCCTCGAACCCTTTTCCAATAGAGCAGGGTAAAGAAAAGGCTGTGTGCTTGCTCCAACTCTCTTCGGCATCTTTTTCTCGTTGCTGCTGTCCTTCACCTTCAGCCAATCAGAGGACAGAAGCGATGGCAGTCTCTTCAACCTGGCCTGCCTACATGCCAAAAGCAAAGTGTGACAGGTTCTCATGCGTGAGATGCTCTTTGCAGATGATGCAACTCTGACTGTTAACTCCGAGGAGGCACTTCAGTGACTCATCAACTGCTTCTTCCATGCGTGTAGAGAGTTTGGCTTGTCTAACAGCCTAAAGAAGACCAACATCATGGGCCAAGACCTGAGCAGCACCCCAAGCATCTCTATCAGTGACTTCACGCTCGAGTTCGTCGAGGACTTCATAAACCTCCGGTCCACCAGCTCCAACAACCACTCCCTGGATGCCGAACTCAATAAAAGCATTGGCAAAGCAGCAACAGCCATGGCCTGCCTGGCAATGAGGATCTGTGAAAACCCCATGCTGACCATCAACACCAAGATGCAGGTGTACCAAGCCTGTGTGCTCAGTACTCTGCTCCACGGCAGCGAGTCATGGTCTCTATTCCTGCCAAGAACGCAGGCTCAACACTTTTCACCTGCGCAACCTCAGGAAAATTCTGGGTATCACGTGGCAAGATTGTGTACCAAAAAAGAATGTCCTCGACCAGGCAGGCATCCCCAGCATGTTTGCACTCCTGACCCAGCACCGCCTGTGGTGGCTCGGCCACGTCAGATGAATGGACAGGCGAATCCCCAAAGACATCCTGTATGGCGAGCTCACCACTGGTTCCAGACCTGAAGGAAGGCCTGTCTTACGTTACAAGGATGTTTGCAAACGAGACATGAGAGCAGGGAACATCGATCCAGCAGGCAAGGAGGCAGTGACTGAAGACCGCAGTGACTGGAGAATGATCATGAAAGCATGCGTCCAGAGGAGTAACGAGATGAGAAAACAGCAATGGGAAGAGGGGAGAGAGCGCAGATGGCAGAGGGCAGATTCCCTGCACTCAGAGCGAGGCGTGACCTTCACCTGCAACAACTGCAACTGAGCCTGCCGATCTAGAATTGGCTTGTATAACCATAGCGGTGCAAGAGTTCCATTGTCTCCCGAGACAGATGGACACCAACTCAATTCAAGAGGTGGTAAAAGATGCACAGTAGGGATTGTAGTAGGGATGGTGGTGTGGTAGGTATAGTAGGGGATAGGGGCATAGCAGATGTGGTAGGGGATGAAGTGTGAGAATAGAGGAAACAAGTGGTAGGATTTAGCAAGGGAGGGGGTGAAGATACTGTAGTAGAAGTGGTACGGGATAGAGTGTAGGAATGGTGATAAGGAATGGGGGTGTGGTTACGAGAAGATGAGGTATGTAGGGTTTTTAAAGGCTGTTGAAGCCTTGCAGGTGTGGCAAGGGATAGGTGAGGTAGAGGTGTTAGGGCATGATGCCGTAGAGGTGGTAGGGGTAAGGTGTGGTGTGGATTGCAGGGAAATGGGCTGGGTGGGTGTGAGGTAATAGCACGTGGTAGCTCTTTTAAGACTAGGGCTGACAAAGGCAAAGGTGAGGGCAGGCTGAGAAAATAGAGAAATCAACTCTAAAGTAATTTTAAAATTATACTGGAAATAACCAATTTAGTAAGGGATAATGTGTGGTACAGAGGCAGTGGGTGGAAAGAGGTTTATCATAGAGATAAGTAAAATCTGTTCTTATACCATCAGCTGGCAACTAAACTTTGGTGACCATTTACTTTGCTAGTTCCTGAAAGGCAACTTAAGATTTTTCTCAAACCCTCCTGATTACAATTCTTAATGAATTATTGATTGAACCTTGTATATTGATCATACAAAATGATATAAAGCATGTTTAATCATTTGGGTATAGCTTTGTTGCAGTGCAAGTAATAAACTTTTCAAAAAGACTGCAATTACCTTTAGTTAGCCAATCTGACAGCAGATCTAAACTGGTCTTCTCGATACCACCAGTCAGTCCCAGACTTCTCACCAAGGTCTCCAGCTTGGAAAAACAATCATTGAAGAGGACTTCAGTCCAGTCAGTAACATTACAATGACCCCATTTGTTCCTGACATTTTCTCTGACATCATCAGCTGAATTCTGAATAGACATCAGTGGGTTTGGGGAGTAGAAAATCGGTGCAGGCTTGTTAAATCCCAACAGGCGAAGGATGGCACTCATGTCCAGTGACTTGTCAAAGCCTGAAAACTCAGCAAGATAATCTGGCACAAACAACTTGGCCAAGTCTACTGAACTGTTGATGTTGTAATTGTAGAGTCTTTTATGCTTGCCATGCAGCTGAAGATTGTTGTTGACATTCTGGAATTTCAAGTGTTTAAAGCATGGATCACTACTGACCTGACAGTAAGTCAGTGTCTTTAAGGTACAGGGTGTGGCCAGACCACTGCAGTAGATATCCAGGTTTGTATAATGAGTGTCCATTCCTTGTTTGATAAAATTTCTCAATACTGGAGCTGCTACTTTGTTCATGGCAATCCCAACAACAAGCCATCTCTTCTCCTCATCAGAGACCATCATCTTGAGATTACAAATTAGTTCCAATGATTATTGTTGTCAAAGGCTATAAATGTGAGGTAAAATTACATCTTGAAGCCAGTGCTGGCTGAAAAAAGATGAAGGAAAAGGGAATTTTGAGTTAGGTAATTAAATTTAAAAATCATTTGTAGGAAATTTCTATACTTAGGACAATCATATAATCACTGTGTTCACCAACTGGCATGACAGAATTTTGCAGCGGAGCACCAAGGGCCCAAGGGCCACCAAGTGGAGCCCCATACTCATAGAAACCCATGAATCGCTTTTCTTGTGGTTAAAATGGTTAGCGGTATTGCTACTGGGCACGTATGCATGACGAAAAAAATGATGTTGCACAACATGGTGGTCATACTCCAGCTAATGGGACATGTGGCCTTGGTTTACACTGTGCATCTTTGATATTGGACATCCATTTATGGTCAACTGGCACCTGTCAAAATAAGGTATCTACTGACCAGTATCATGTGACCATATTGCAGGCTCAAGTTTTGAGCTCACTGAGGTCACATGTTTTTTTTGAAGTTAACCACTGACCAAGTACATGTACCAGCTTCTAAATTGGACTGCGGGCTCAAACCAGGTTAACTTACTGTAATCAGGGCTGGGTCTGTTCAGGACTGAGCTGGCTAACGCTAACCCAGATTGAAAGTGAACCAAAGTGTACATTTTTCTTGTATAAAAATGTTTTTAACTGCTTATGTTTTGTGCAGTTTGAGATTTAATTATCAATATACACGGCCGAATAGAAACTCAGCCTCTTAAAAACACGTGCTCAGGGAGCTGCAAATGACTGACAGTGGGCTGCTAAAACATTATCAGCCCTACAACTGATTGGTTCTAGCTTTATCATCTGATGGATTTTAACCAATTAAAGTAAGCATAGTGCTGATGTGGCAAAACCATTCAGTAATGGAAGAAATTAGCAGTCAAAATTCATATTTCAGGCTGGAGCCAGGATTAGAACAAATTAGCAGCAAAGGCTCAGGCAGAAAATACATTGCGTGTGGATCAAAAAATTTGAGAAATGGTGCGACAAACGAAAGCTGAAAGTTGACCTCAATTGTGTAACAATGGTCGAGCTTAATGAATTACCACAAAATTCTCTGCTGAAGTCAAGTCGGAAAAGGCCAATGGCCACCAACAGAAAGTACTCTCACAGTTATTCCTACTCTCACAGATACCTTTGTGTATAGCAGCATAGACAGTTTCAAGGATAACTTTGTGCTTTGGGAATATTGTTTATTTTTACCTGGACGCAAATACACAATATTCCCCAGAAAAGTCATGTTTTGCCCTTATTATTCAAACTCAGAAGTCCAAACAATATATTAAACAGAAACCTCACTGGCAAGTTAAAAAAAAACTCAATTCAAAATTCTCACTTATTCTGGGTTAGCTTAAGGTCATTTCACTGAAATAGAACCTGCCCTGAGATTTTTGTCAAACTTTACCTATTGATTGTTTATATTATAGGAACTTAAATTTTGAAACAAAAATGAGAGGTCCCCATGTTTGTTAAGGAGCAACAGCACCTTGTTTGTACCCAATAAATCCTTATATTAGCACCATGATTATAGTCTTAATTGTTTGCTAAATTCATGTTTCTGACGATTATTTCTTTTTCTACACTGAAAATTGGTCCATATTATTTCATATAGAGAAATTTATTACTCAATTCAAAACAACAGAAAAAAATGATGGGTCACTGTACTCGTTTTCGAGGAAATGACTATTTACCTCTATGGCGGGGTCCAGCCGTAAAGACAAAGCTGCCATTTTTTAATGTGCGGGCGTTAATCACGTGTGAGATCATGCGCAGTAGGGATGCGCAGTGAAATACTGGGAATGACCTTAATCAGGCTTTGAACAACCCAGCCCAGGAGCTCCGCTTTTAGGCTTGGCTAAATCTATACATTAGACAATGTTTGGCTGACTGCATGACTTATAGTCCTGATGGCAGCAGAATCAACTTGCAGGTCCTTAACTAAACAGTGAAGATATAAATGACTGGATTTATATAAACTGTGCTGATTTCAACACAACCACCCTGACACTTTTCCAAGAAAATTACACAGACTTTTTCACTCACAGGCAGTCTGTCCCACAGCCTACCCACCTTACTTTTGTCTGGCTGACTGGCTGCCAGCCCCTAAGGCTGAAGGGCATGGGTGGCCAAAGCTTGTCCTGCAAAGGAAATGACCAGTTAAGCTGACAAAAGCCTCTCTGTGACCCAACCCACCCTCCTGGGGATAGACCCAGGGGCCCACTTGGAATCAGCTGGTTAAAGCCAGGCACCTGGCCTGTCTGCCCCAACCCTCCTTGACAGCAGCCCTCCTGGGTTTTCAGGCGCAGCAAAGACCTGTCTGCGGGTTATCGCCAGCAGGCAGGCATTGAAGTGTTACCCCAAATTTGACTCAGTTTTCAAAAGTTATGACATATTCAAAATAAAATAAACTAAAACAGTGAAGATATCACTAATCATAGATTTCAACAGGTATAAATTATGGTGATAAAAATTTAAAGTCTGCAGGATCTGAAAGTAGATGTAGCTCTGAACTTAAACCAGCTTCAAGAAACAGTTTGGCGACAAAACTTTAGTAATTTGATTGCTAAGTATATTCAGGTGAAATGTTTGGTGCATGTGTAATAATAGGGAGTTTACGAAACAATGACGGCAAAGGCAACGGGAACATCACTGAACAAAAGAATTAATGAGCAGTACAATGGCTGTGCACGTGCGTTATAATTCTTGGTATATTTCTTTGCTGTCCTCTGCAAAACAACGTGAAATGACCAAATTTTGTATTGTCTGGAGAACGTGAACCACGACGGCTAATTTTTTAAATTTTTATTTCAAAGTTATCGCTGTGTTCCGGAATTAGTTTTGCGATAGTTTTGACAGTGAGAAACAAAGTAAATGACTTAAGAGTATCGCGAGATTCGTTGGTAAAATATAAATCATTTTTTAATTGACGTTGTCCTCGGCGTTGGCGTCACGGTTTCGTAAACTCCCTAATATTAGGTGATGAAATTACGGCGTAACCAATTCAGTGACTTGTTCTACCAAAATATTCACATTCAAGGTTGAGGAAAGTCTTTCCGAACCCTGTTAGAATTAACTGGCGAGAAAATCTTATCATAACCCTGAGAGAAGTTTAACTCCCACTTTAAGTGCATTCATGCTTCAAAGAATTTATTCTCAGAAACATACTACATGCCGATAAATATATCCTGAAACAAGCACTGTCACTCATAGCACTGAAACCTAAGTTGCTGTATCAGATTTAATAGGGAGTTTAAGAAACCACGACGGCAATGCCAAGGACGTCAATCAAAAAATGATCTTATATTTTACCTACGATTCTCACGGTACCCTAAAGTCATTTACTTTGTTTATCACTGTCAAAGCTATCATGAAACTGAATCTAGGACACATCGATAAATTTGAAATAACAATTTAAAAAATCAGCCGTTGTCATTCACGTTCTCCAGACAACGCAGAATTTGGTCATTTCACGTTGTAGTTTTGTAGAGGACGGCAAAGAAATGTACCAAGAATTATAACGCATGTGCACAGCGATTGTTCTCCTCATTAAACCTTTTGTTTAGCGACGTTGCCGTTGCCGTCACGGACTTCTTAAGCTCCCTAATTTCAAAGTTATGCTAAGAGACCAATGATATGACTTGTTGACAGAACCTGACAACAGATTACTCCCTTAAGTGATAGTTTATAGATTTAATTTATAGAGAATTGTGTTCATTGCCCCTGGCCGTTTCTAAGTCCCAAATTAATTTCCTAAGTGATTTTTGCTTCTAATACTCAATGGACCACAACATAACAAGGATAACCACAGTAAAATTACCTGTATTAAGCAGACCCCATATTAAGCAGACATGGACACCAGCTTGAGTCCCTAAATTTTCTTCCTACATTTACTGTACAATGAACCTGCATTCGCTGAACACCTCTGTTAAGCAGATCTATGCGAACACTAATATTAAGCCATTTTGTTACACAAAACCTGCAATACACAGACAGTTTAAGGGCTTTTTACTTCTAAAAGCTCAGCTCAGACTCCTTTAACATTGCTCAGCAATATCATTTTAAAGCTAACTGTAGATTATTCCAGATTGATGCATTGACTGACTGGACATTGTGCTATGAGCAATCTTTGACCTTACACTGTGTTGCAAAACGGTAAATAATTAACTATCATTGCACAATATATCAGAACCTGTTTAGGGCAGATATCCTGTAGTGAGTGTCCCAAGGAAGTCTGCTTAACGCACGTTTCACTGTACAATCTGATAATGCAATTCTAGACATATTTGAGCTTACATCATTCTGACTGACTACCTAATGACCCATTTCACCTGGGGGGGGGGGGAACTCCCATGTAAAGAGGATGGGGATGCTCATCTGAAATTTTAAAAATAACCCTTAAGAGATACCAAGCTCATGTTTTGTGGGCGTGCCTTGGAAGTTTTTTAAGAGGTACCAATTGTGAGAGGAAAATAAAAATCAGTTGATTTTCAAATATCTCCTGTCATATTGTTTTGGCTCGATACCCTTAAAGCCACTGCAAAACCTTTTGTAGTGGACCTTTTGGGGCTGAACAGCCTAAGAGGTGCCACAAATGCTTTTTAACCCTTAAAAGGTACGATAAGCACCCCGTACTTGCTATGTGGGAGTCTCCCCACTGGGCCATTTCAGCTGATTTGACTGTGAACATGTAAAAATATATTTCATTGGGAGATTATTTTGCCAAACATCTTCTTTCTAATTCCCTAATTGCCCTTAATAATCAATTGCCAAATGATAAAAAATGATAAAAATTCTCAAGGAATGGAAACTGGTTTACAATTAATTATTAAATATCATTTAATTGCCAATTAGCATGCTGAGAATTTTGCATGTACAGTGGAACCTCAGCCAACGTTGACACCTCGTTAATACAGTCACCTAGTTATTATTAGGCAGGTCTTTTTTGTCCTGGCAAATTTTCAATGTGGCCACCCTATTAATATGGCCAACCACCACATTCTGAAATCCCAACCTGTAATTTTACCCTGTAAGTACGGCCACTCGAACCAGTTATGTTCACCTTCCCATGGTTGATATTGTATTATATCGAATTTTTCAATTTGTATCTGCATTTGGAGAGGAGCAGTTGTGATATAATTCTGTCAAGACTTCACTCAGCTTAGACCAGTCATGAAATTTGACCCTTCCCCTTTAATATAGCCACCCCGTGAATTACTTAAGGCCAATTTTTCATGGCCCGTTGTGACCATGTTAACCGGGTTCCATTGTATGTTATTGAGATAAAAACGAGTCACTTGTAGCTCCCACAAAGACAGGAGTAAATTAAAGGAAACCTTCCTATGATCACACATAAAACGCGTCTTAAACTCTCAGACAGAGGTTCAAATTGATTTCTGCAATCAAACCAAAGACAGCACAGAACGCGACAGTTTCATCCAAAACGCTATCCATAAAACCAGAATAAATCCAGAAAAAATTATGAACTTGACGAAGCCAAGAGGATTAAAAGGGCATGCAATTCTGCGGTTTCACGCCATGGCGGAAGTGACTTCCTTTACAACAAAGCGTTAATTCCCAGTTGTTACTTTACACAAGTTGTTTCTGTATGTTAACATACCTGGCAGCGTTAGATGTGATCATCAAACCACAAGCTAAAGGTAACATTTTGGCCCACTAATATCGTAAACCTTCTACAGATAGTAAACATAGGCACGCTAGGCGTGCAAGAGTTATTTTTTTGTGTGAAGCGTCGGCAGAAGCATATCAACTATATGCAGGGGCGGGGGAGAACACTCTGCGACGCCTGGCACTTTTTTTGTGTTTGGATCATCCACCAAAAAGTGACGTCACATCCGGTAAAAAAGCGGGCTGAGCGGCAAAATCAAATTTGAATGCGACATAATCGTTCTCTCAGTAAGTAAAATGGTTATATTTCGTAATCGGCGGGATATTTCTTAAGTTTGATTTGGCCGTGAGAAACAAAATTTTGTCGTCTTCCTCGTCATATCGTTTGATTGAGGAAAAGAACGATTATTTATTCAAAAACATGCTGTTTTGAAGGCGTGTGTTTTTACGAAATGTCGTCGTTTCTTCTTCGCTGAATTCCACAGTAGCCATCGTTTGCGTGGAAATAATGATTTGTAGGTAAGTTGTACTCAATTCAAATATCCTATTCTCTTAGGTAGGCATTACACTAAGGGAAAAGCGCTGTGTCAGTTTTCTAGACGTAGGAGAACCTATTTAACAGAAGCCCATTTTTCAAATTTTCCCTTGACAAACACTTGAGAGTAGAGGTTGACACGTAGAGGTGTTAATCGTATCACACTGTAAGAATAGACCCACACACATAACGCGGCGGAACTTTCTTGCTGATCGACACTAACGCAAATTCATGTTCTTGCTTGTGACTCAAACTCAGTGGTGTTATAAATTCTGTTACGATTGGTTAAGAACCTTGAACAAGTAATCTTAACTTTTCCCTTGGCAATTCCTTAATTGGTAAACGCTTCCTTAAACATAGGCAGGCCGTGAACCCCTTAGAAATAAACAAGATATTCTTATGGGCGATTTAGTAATTTGGGCATCTCGTGTTTTTTTCAGTTATAATCTAATTTATTTTTCCGTTTCAACAGTGTTGAGTGTCAGCGACACTATAAAGTTTCAATACTTCCCCCCTCGGATCCTATGAGGTCAAGCATGCATGCACCTTTCATTTCTTCAATTCCTTTCATTTGCCTTGTTTGCTGGCCAAGTTCCTTATCTTATTTGCAGCTTATTTTGAAAGGTTACTCACACATTTTGCCTTATTTTGAGTTTGCTTTCTCTATATAAGCTTACATCAAGACATTTCAGTCCCAGGGAATGACAGAACACTAGCAATTCCGACAATTCTCTCTCATAGAGTTCAATTATTTTAATTCATCACACTTTCACAACTGTTTGCAAACAGTAATGAAATATCATGCCCCAACACCCAGCCATAAAAGGAAGTCTGGGAACAGGTAGTAGCAACAATGACACTGCCAGGCTGGTGAATGTTACAAGCTATTATGAACTCATGTCTGACAATGATGAGTGACCATGAAACATGGTGCGGTGGAACTGAACACCCAGACTGCGAGTGACA